GGATTCTCTTCATAGTCTATTTTACCTTTTACCAAAATTGCACCAGTTTTATAATCAATTTGGAATATGTCTAAAACATGATCCTGCCCTTTCTTTCTCAAAGAGTATTCTATTTCACTGTTTAATCCCTCATCCGCGTCTGTTGCATTCAGAGTAATCACCGTAGACCCTGTTGGCAGGTTTTCAGGAATCTGAATTTTGTACAAAGATCTACTGAAAACGGGATGGTTGTCGTTAATATCCAATACAGTGATGACGATTTGTGAGGTTCCTGACTGTGATGGATTTCCTCCGTCGACAGCAGTCAGTGTGAGCTTTATCACAGAGTCGTGCTCGCGGTCTAACGCCTTCTGCAGTACTAGCTCGGCAGACACACTGTCTCCCCCTTTGTGAATTTCTAATGAAAAATAATCGTTGTTACTTAACTTGTATGTGCTAACACCGTTTTTACCAACATCCGAATCTGATGCCTCTATCAGTCCAAATTTGACACCTGGTAAAGTGTTTTCTGGAACATCAAGCGACTGCAATTGTTCAGAAAAAACAGGTGCATTGTCATTTATGTCTCTTACAGTTATCTCTAAACGATAAAGCTTCAGTGGGTCGTTGATCACAGCTTCTAGATTAACGGTGCATTTTGTAGCCTTCGCACAAAGCTCCTCTCGGTCTATTCTTTCATTGACATAAAGAACACCCGTTTTCAGATTCACATCGAAATATTTCTTCTTTGATCCACTAACAATCTGAAAATTACGAGACTCTAAATCTTGCACGTTGAGACTGAGATCCTTGGCTATATTTCCAACAGAAGTCCCCGAGTTTACCTCCTCTGAGACAGAATAGGAGAGCTGTCCAGACACCGCTTCCCAGCAGCAATTCAGCAGCACGACCACAAGATAAGTCCGAAAAGGGCTCGTTCTGCTCAAGAAATACATGATTATATCCAGTCGAAATCAGCATAAATCCTCCTCCACCAACAGCCGTAAAATACTCGTAATAGAAGGAAACCACAAAAATCCAGTTTCTCGCATTTTTACCAGCCCCTTGAAAAACTGTTTCCTTTCTCCCACGTCCTCCGTCTCTTTGTAACAAAGCCCACAGAAGCATCATCATGCTGTGTTTCTGGGAGGAGTCTTGTGCATTCTGAAATAACGTCTGGATGTCATGGTCTATAGTGTCACCACGTGGAGAAGTTAAATAACTGCACTTTAGAGTTTCTCAGTATTAACAAACATAATTGTTTTCTAATATATTCAGTGTTTACAATGAGCTGAATTCAACCAAATACTCGTTTTTATTTCATTCTCTGCTTTATTTGTACTTGTTTTTGTTTTTAAAGAGTTCATAACAGTCAAACTTCACGTGCTGCTCATAAATCGGCTGTTCACAAGGTAGAAACACGATGTACTTTACGTGTAAAACACTACGACAAGCTGAAGATACAATGAGAGCTAAAATTGTTGATGGCACATAACCACACAAAATTTCTTTATTTTCCAAAGGGAAAGAAGCAACCATCATGAAGTAAGCTGTTGAATTCCCACACCTAAATGCAATAAAATTGGCTTTTTTTATAATTCATTTGTAAATAAGACAAGTTTCATGAAATGTTTATAAATATGCGAGGGGAAACACAAAAATCTTTTTAAACTTTTCGGCCAACAAACTCGCCACTTTGCACCCTTCTCACTGCACACAATAGGCTGCATTTATTTCAGCACCACGGACAACGGCAAACACTTTGTGAGTGAATGCGAGCGGCTTATGAGCTCAAGATAAAGTCATTTTTTGGCTCATGTGTAACTGTACACTTCAACACACATTTAAAGCAACAAGAAATGAAAATGTATCTTTCTGTCTTTGAGAGTGAAATTATACAAACTGGGAGACGTTTTTTCAGTTTCTTACCTTTTCTTTGTTGGGTAAAGTCTGAGTCCTGGTAAAAGT